TGCCTCCCAGTGTCCTCCCAGTGCCTCCCAGAGCTCTCCCAGTGCCTCCCAGTGGCCTCCCAGTGCCTCCCAGTGGCCTCCCAGTGCTTCCCAGTGATCCTCCAGTGCCTCCCAGTGCCCCTCAGTGTCAGCCAGTGACCCCCCCGGTGCTCCCAGTGCCTCTCCCGTGCCTCCCAGTGCCCTCCCAGTGCCTCCCAGTGGCCTCCCAGTGCCTCCCAGTGTCCTCCCAGTGCTTCCAAGTGATCCTCCAGTGCCTCCCAGTGCTTCCCAGTGCCCCCCAGTGTCAGCCAGTGCCCATTCAGTGCCCCATCAGTGCCCTCCCAGTTCCTCCCAGTGCCCTCCCAATGCCTGCCCAGTGCTTCCCAGTGACTCCCAGTGCTCCCAGTGCCCCTCCAGTGCTTCCCAGTGCCTCCCAGTGTCATCCAGTGACCATCCAGTGACCCCTCAGTGCCCGCCCAGTGCCTCCCAATCCCTCCCAGTGCCTCCCCAGTGCTTCCCAGTGCTCCCCAGTGTCAGCCAGTGCCCATCCAGTGATGCATCAGTGCTCTCCCAATGCCTGCCCAGTGCTTCCCAGTGACTCCCAGCGCTCCCAGTGCCCCTCCAGGGCCTCCCAATCCCTCCCAGTGCCTCTCAGTACCTCCCAGTGCCTCCCAGTGACCCGCCCAGTGCATTCCACTGCCTCCCAGTGTCCTCCCAGTGCCTCCCAGTGCCCCCCAGTGCCTCCCAGTGCTTCCCAGTGCCCCTCCAGTGCCTCCCAATACCCCTCCAGTGCCTCCCAGTGCCTCTCATTGCCCCCCCCAGTGCTTCCCAGTGTCCCCCAGTGACCCCTCCAGTGCTCCCAGTCCCTCTCCAGTGCCTCCCAGTGCTCCCCATTGCCCCTCCCGTGCCTCCCAGTGCTTCCCAGTGACCCTCCAGTGCCTCCCAGTGACTTCCAATGCCCTCCCAGTACCTCCCAGTGCTTCCCAGTGCCTCCCAGTGCCCTCCCAGTACCCTCCCAATGCTTCCTAGTGACCCTTCATTGCCTCCCAGTACCTGCCCAGTGCCTCCCAGTAACCACCCAGTGCCTCCCAGTGCCCAACCCAGTGACCTCAGTGACCCCCAGACACAGCTTTCCAGGGGGGACCCAGGCGTCCGGGAGGCCCCTACCTGCTGGTGGTCTCAGGTGTCTTCACTGCTGGACTGGGAGCACTGGGAGCACTGGGAGGGCCCCCCCTGTTCTTATACC